TCCACCTTACTGGTATTCTCCATTACTGCTCACAGCTTTCCCATAGACTTCTTGACAATTACTTCCACCCCTAACTGTTCTCGAAGCCTGCAAAAATCCTTTAGATATCATCCACTTATTCAAAAGAAGCTGCTCAGAACTACTGGGCCTTTCTAACCACTCTCTGAAATTCATCTATGGTTTCCAACGCTCTTTTCCCAACAGACTAGACATAGCGCTAAGCTTCTTCTCGTAGAGTGACACTGTTCCTTCCCGATAACTATATACTCAGTTTCATGCTGCAAACCTCCTCAAAGTTTTCACTGCCGAGCTGCAGTCGCAATGGTCTTGTTGCTGTAGTTTTTTTCCCACTGCCATCTAGATGCAGACATACACATGCCCCAAAAGGAACGACAATTTCCTAGTGATCATCTCCACCCATAACTGATAGCAATATAGTGTATCTGTGTCCACTGTTGACCGATCTGAAGTCCGTAGATGTCACGTCAAACAGTGTCTCTCTTCATGTCCGAAGCTCATACTGACTATAAATAAATCGTTGTCTAAGCACACTTGTAGCAGTCAATCTCCATCACATCCTCGATCGACTGGGATTCTGAAAGTCCCACCAATGTACCTTCCCACTTGACTTAGCCTAAACATTTGTTCATCGAAATCACTTGCTACAAAAACCACGTCTGAACGTTTAGCTTTCAGTAGGAGGTAAGACAATATTCGGTACAACTCATCATTCACTTCATCTTAGCTGCAGTCAGTAGCTACAGAAGTAGTGATTTTACAAGGGGGTAGCAATGAGTTTCACCATTCTTTACAGTCCTCACTGCACGGTTCAGTCGAACAGCAAACAGGCGACTGTCAACTGGCATCCAGTCGAGCAGCACACTTCCTACCTTAGCACTTGGTGCTATATATATTATATGCCTGCGAGAACTAGCCATCGAATTTTCAGAAAGTCGAAGAATGAATATCGCGGATTCACCACACTGATTGGATGAGGTTAGGTGGATAACCACATCTGGGTCCAGTATGGGTGTTTCAAGAACAGGATACACATTTACGGTCCAAGATGGCAGACATTCGACTACGAAAGCTTGTCGATCTGTTCAATGGAGGGTGACGACATTGGTAGCGCTAATATGTAGTTTGAAGTGTGACTTCAGGAGATAAGGGATGTCGTTCTATGAACTCAGGTCGATGTCAACAGCTGCAGAACTGAAACAAATTAAAGACGATGTGGAAATGTTGATCAAGAGACATAAGCGAAGATTAGAAGTTAAGGATTTGAAAGATGGACAGTGATCTGCGAGAAATTGTCATGAAGTTTGGAGTTCATTAACACTTTCTGGCTGCCCATAAAATGGAAGGCTGTTTCTTCTCAGGGTAACTAAAAAAAGAATCAGTGCGTGAACACAGAGAACAGGGAACACTTACCTGAGGCTGGTTGGCCTTTCTAGAAGTTTACAGTTGTTGGGGGCAACAGCAATAACTGATGGTGTTGGTCAAGGATGATCGCTGTCATTATGTTTAAGCATGTGACTCTAGTTCATCCTGACCCTCCAGATATTAATCATCTCCTCGGGAAGTATCTCAGATATAGAGTATGCAGACGATATAATGTTGACGTGTGACGTTGAGGACATGATACTCAGTCTCCTGAACGTCTTGAAAAGAAATCTGAGTATGTTGATAAGCCTTTTTTAACCTGCCACATATGGGATGTTCCTTCAGAACTAGTCCACACTAACTTTCAGTTTAAGGATAGGCAGCTGTGTGATATAGTGGGATTGACCATTTCAGTTGCTAAGGTAGTTGAATCAGCTCATACTCCTTGGTCGCTGACGAAGTTTTAACTGAGACAAAGAACATCCGTTCTACCTTTAGCAGTCTGCTTCATTTCTAGAACCGACGAGATACCAGACTACCTATTATTAAACGAGTATAATGTGCTGTAGTCCAGTGTCGTAATGTACTGCCGTTATACTTGGTCACTGAAGGTAGATATAGGAGTTACAGTTTTTTGTACAGGTCTCTTCATAGCATTGATAAGATATGGTGGAATCACCACGCGAATAATGTTGAGGTTACACAAAAGAAAGAAAGATAGTCATTCGATGAGGTTATCAACCTTCACCGACTGAGATAGCCAGGATGTGGGCTAGGCATGCCAAGCCACGATCTGACATAACGTCCAATATTTGCTGAAGTAGAACTAGGTTGGGGAAAGGTTCAGGGTGGCCAAACCAAGATATTGTATCAGTCGGTTCGAGCCGTAGATAGAGTTGAAGTTCACCTGGCTGTAATCCCCAAGAGTTCAGGAATCAATAGTAGTAGGCTGTTGGTCAAATAGCAGAGAACTGGTCACAATTGCGCAGTTATTGTCACTCTGGCAACTTCGAAAGTTTGAATACCTTCATTTTCATCATTTTCTTAATTCTCTATTGCCTACTTTATTACCACTCAACTCTTTGGACAGCTTTATGAACGCGGTTGTAGAATTGATAAATTTATGCCAGTTTCTGCATTTATTTGTCGCTCTGTCTCTAGGATCGATTAAAATGAGAACCAGTATTCAGATTTCAGCTTGTTTCGAAATGATAAGATTGATTAACCTGAATCCAAACGCAACTCATTCCGTAATAAAGAAGGAAACTGTCTGATATGCTACCTACCAGCATCAACGCAACAATGGATATACACTGAACATGTTACAACCAGCTATCCCTGAAAAGCGTTGATGGAAGATTTTCACTCTTTCTTACCACGTACGTGCACAGTAATCATGTGCTGGATTGAGCAAGCGCATGTCAATGACTAAACAGACGCAGAAAAATAACAACAGCAAGAGTATCGCAGGACGGTTAGGGGCGTTTCCAGTCTACTGGAAGAACAGTGTTGCTGATTCTAGAAAAGTTTATAGAAATGCCAACTGGGTATGATAAGCTTCTTCTGAACTAATAGATGCCTGATAACACATTCAAGCAGACTCTAAACCCAATGACCAATGAAAATAACTCTATATAGACTGACGGCGAAGAGAAATGCGTGGGGAAGGCTAGACAGTTGCGAAAAGCAGTGGGTATCCAGAAATCTTATGGCAGTATCTTTAACTAAAAAAGTGTCCCCCAAGTAAACCAATCCCTTAAAGGCTCTGTTCTCGAACATCAGTGAACGTGTAGGAGCCTATGGTGAGTTATCAACAGAATTGTGTAGACTGAGTCATCTCCGTCAAGGATGTTCACTCACTGCATTCCTATTCAACCTTATAATAGACGTACTGATGAGGGTATCCATCTAGTCCTCTGATTTTCAAAGGACTTATTTTGTTACACATGAAACCTGGAGTACATGGGTGACATCATCTTGTTAAGTGAAGACGCCGATGATATGAGATAGTTTGAGTGTTTGTGATACGTTTCTCACCACATAACTGTAAATTACTCCTACACGACTTGTCTTCACTGATGCCTTGTCTAACAATCAGGAGTGAGGCGGCTGACTGCATTGACGGTTTCACTTACCTGGCTCGGAAGTCAGATCAGTCCTAGGAGGTTATTGACAGACAAAATTTCTGCACCGATACAAATAGCTCACTCGACTTTCGCCAACTCTTACACTATTGATGATGCCACTGTGATATCCGATTACCTATTAATGGTCGAGTGTACTACGCTTCAGTTAGCTCTGTTCTACTCTGTGTCTGTGAAACACACCCATTGAAGGTATAAGATGTGAGGAGGCTTCAAGTGTTTGACCACCACCGTTGCCTTTGTAGCATAGGTTGTGTGTCGTGGCGTCTGTCACTGTGTCAGTAATGTAGAAGTCATGTGAAGAGCTTTAGGTAGGAGAATGAAGTTGGTTGATGTGGTTGTGAGTCATCATTGGCTCAGGTGGTTAGGACGTGTGATGAGTTTGCCTAGTCACTGTCTGTCTCGTCGCACAGTGGTAGTTGAAGTAGATTAGGCTGCAGACAGGTTAAGGGCGGCCAAACCGCAACAAGGCAACAGTGTATGAAATCTTTCACTGTTGGTCTGAGCCATGTAGGAAAACGCAGACTTCCTGTTTACGGTCCACATAACAACAGAAATCAGTGGTTGGCGAGTCTGTGACGGCTCAGAATCGGTGTCAGTGGCGTAGATGTACCCACACATCATCTTCCTTCTAATCATCACAATGAATTCAGTATTTTCTTGTTCCTCTATGTTATCTTACCACGACTTTCTACCACTTTTGACTGTTTTATTCATCTTTTTTCTTTTATTTCGGTGCATTCTTTCTTGATATGAGGAAGCGTGGACCGTCACACAGTAATGTCTGGTTTTATGTCGATATTGCCTCTCTCCACTTCGAAATTCAGGGCTTTGTTCACTATGCTAGCATGTTACAAGAACCATCTCTTTTGGAAAAAGTACCAGTTGAAATTCAAGCTTCGAATCTTTCATTTGGAATCCACACCCAACCTCTGAAATAAATCCCATCAGAATGAAGCCAATACCAAATATTAATCCATTATAACACCTAATAGAAGCTATTATCAAAAGGGATAAAAACTACGTTTTATGAGGAAACACCACTACGAATTGCTGAAAGACAAAAACAGTCGAGGTCGAGTTGATAAGAACGAAAGAAGCATACTTTATGATTCAATGGAGTTTTATATGAAGATCACACTGAAACTGCTTATTTAAATGATCATGATGCATAATACAAGAAGTCTTCTTATGAACACAAAAACAGTATAGACATCACAAGAAAGAATGGTAGTCGCATGTTTCATTTTCAAATAGAAAATGAATCCATGCCAGCAGGAATGATGAGTGGTAAATAAATATCTTTTTCTGCTATGCAGTAGCAAAAATTACAAAATTAATAATAATAATAATAATAATAATAATAATAATAATAATAATAATAATAATAATGGCAATGATATCGACAAGGATGTATTGCTAATATTAACTAACCATAGTTCGGTTAATTATCTGTTTTTTTAATTGCAACTTATTATATCACCAGTATCAAAAATGTGAGGAAGACATATGTAAATTCTTCAGTTTAAAAAGATTTACATGACGCAAAACCTTTAGAAAAAGGAATATGAAAAAATAAAAGAGCACTTTGTTTATATAATTGACTTCTCTTAGTGATATTGGACCCTAAAGTAGGATTGTTTGTGTAACTTATGGAAACTTGTCATTCCACCTTCTTCACAGTGGCTTATAATACCCTACTTGTGATTTACACAATGGACACGTATGTATAACATCTTGTGTGGATTCAAGATAAAAGGGAATTAAACAGCAAAAAGCCCACAATCTGTAATAAAAGAAAAAGGAGAGTGAGCGTTTAGGAGTTTTCAAGCGTAAACGTGTATCAGAAAAATATAGCTTCCTCAGTAAGCATACATAAATTCCCTACCAGTGGGAATGTCAGTATTTAAATAAACTGATATCATAACTTATCATTTTAGTGTTTTTATCTCTGATCTCAAAAAAGCCTTGTACGGAACTCAGGCAGAAAGATGGTCGCTGAATAACAATGGGATGAGCAAAGCGTTAAGATCCCATCCAGATACCAGTTACCTCATATTAAAAAGTATCCTGATAAACCAAAATGATACTAATAGGTCACCTAGATCACCCATACTAAAAATCCTTTTTATGTATATGAAGATTTGAACAAATTCTCTTATGAAGTGCACTGAAACTTTAAAAAATGACAGGAATATTGAAGACATTGGGATATGCAACAGTGGGTCCTCCAACATCGAATTTAACTCAGAAAAGGGTTAACTGCCTTCCCTTGACTGCTCAGTTGGGCTTAGAAAAATGGACATAACAGTATGGTTATTTGCAGAAGAGCGACACAGACATATTGAGATTGTAGTTCACTACCCTTCATGAGTGTTAAGACTTCGCTTGTCTCCAGTCCTTTAAGAGGAATAATGATAACTGAACCTTTGAAATGAATAAATATCCGGTAAACTTACTTAGCGAAATCGAAAATAATACTAAGTGAGGCTGAAGGACTCCAAAGTCATGATCTACAACAACAGCCAGCCTACACAATCCTCACATTTCAGATGCGATACAAAGGGTGCTCAATGAATTTAATGACAGTTCTATGATACATGGAACACTGGAGCTCACTTTAGTGTGAAGGAATGTACATGAATAATAATCTGATTGTGTTCATAAATTTAAATGCCCAAACTGCGATGCAGCATACATACATATCATTTGCGCTATGCAAATATGTGTACTTGCATTTTGAACCTCTTAAACGCATTTTGACAGAGTTAACGAACCATTACTAATCAGTAAGTGTTATACATCTCAATTTATTATTATACCTGTGTAGCTATAGTGTGATAGTAGCGATAATAAAAGATTAAACTACAGAGTAGAACACTAAGTACTGCTCAGCGAACAATTTTCTCACCAGTACCAAGCATGATACGTATCTTCACATAAAATATCTGATGTATCTGGATGTACTCTGGATGGCAAATACTTATTTTACAGTTCTAATACAAGTAAACAACTACATGCAAGGGTTTATCATCTTCAATCTTACTTAACTGGAATAAAATCTGTCGATGTAATCAAAAAACACCTACCCCATAAGACACAGTACTCCACAGAGAAGCCATGCTAAAAGCCCGGCTTCAGATCTGACTTTCGTAACGACACTGCTATGACAATATGGGCAAACGATGCCAACAGGATTCCACTTGAACACTGTGGTAGGAGGTTGCGTCACAATAACTACGATTTGTGATTAAAGAGGCGAAGAAAGAAATTTGATTTGTTGCGCGTTTATACAGAATATGATTACTCATGAAATAGTTATTTTAAAACTTTATAACATGGTAATATATCAATACAGTATACTGTCCATCATGCAATTTATAAGAGGGCATGATTTTTAACACGTTGTCAAATTAGAGATGTAAGAGTTTCAACGCAGGTGAAACTTTAATCATTCATGAAGTATCCAGTAGGTTTAAGAGTCAGGTATACCCACAACCAGTAGGTTCGAAGACAATAGTCAGTTCTTTCAATTAGCGGGAATATAACCATGAGAAAAAACTGGTAAGATTCTGGTTGCAGAAAGATGCATCAAACGAAGTAGCAGGACACAGATGTGACTGAAAAAACCAACGCAGAACCTCGCACATAGATGCATCGGTCCAAGTTGTCACACCTCACAGTAGTTCACAAAGAACAAGTAGATAGAAAAAGAGTGATACCAAAGAAGATAAAGTAATGTGAGAGAACAAGCAATCCGAAGATAAAGGTTAGTGCAAACATTCAGGCTTTAGAAGATGTCAAGGAGTGAATACACCTGCGTCATTGTGACCAGTTTTCAGCTATGTCAACTAAGACTCCTCAACCACTGATTTCTTTCGTCTCGGCAACCCAAACAGGTAATCTACATCGCTCCACACGACTCAGACGACGAAGATTCACTTCACCAATCGACTTGGCTGTCTTGCCTAGTACCCTTCGCTCGACCCTAACATTGCTCACATGGTCATTCCACCAACCGCGATCAATGCTACGAAGACACCTATGATCAAAACTCTGAAACCGCTTCATATCTCCTACTTTTAACGGCCATGTTTGACAGCCATACAACAGGAGAGAACGGACTGTAGCGCAGTATGCTCGTCCCTTGATAGACAGTCAGATATCTCGCCAGTGGGCACCACAGGTGACGAAAGTTGTCCAATGCCAAACGAGTCTTCTATATCCCGGCTGTTTCATCAGCAACCAGCCTGTTCGAGTTGATACAACTTCCCAAGTAAGCAAAGCCATCGACACATTAAACTGGATGTGGTTGCAGACAAGTCGTGAAGCACCATCTTACATTTGACAGGTGTGAAACGCATGCAAAAAATACTCATATTTCTGCTCAATGCATTCACAAGACCCAGTATTTTGTCAGCGTCTTCACCTAGCAGGACAATATCACCTGCGTACTGCCAGACGATGCCCCTCTAGTGATTAGATCGATCCATTTGAAGTACGTACCTAGAGTTATGTTAGTACATCCATAACGAAATTAAACAGGAGCGGTGACAGCGAGCATCCTTGGTGGACATCATTAGTTGTCGTCAATTTAGGTGACAACTCCATTAGCCCATACACTGCTGCATGACCTAAATAGAGAGCACTGGTTTGTTCTGTATACTTGCTCGGTACTCCTTCACACTGCCACAACACCTCACGGTCGACTGAGTCAACAAATGCTTTCAGGTCAAGGAATATGGCGCTATTTCTCAGTAGGGAAGCCTGTTTTCCATAAGCTGTCCGAAGGTGAGCATCTGATCGAGTTTATTGTTCTCAGGCTCCAGTTAAGCGTCCGATAACTATGGACCCTAGGATCTTGAACAGGATATAAGTTAAACTGATTTTCTGGTGTTTATCATAGGAAGACATCTCCCTCCTTATAAACTTGAATGGTCGATGAAGCGGACCAGACTAACAGTACTACCTCTGATTCTCATACACTACCTAGTACCTAAATAACTTTAAACAGAAGTTTCCTTTTATTATCATCATAAGCTACTAGTGGGAAATTGTCGGGTTCAGCTACTTTGTATCGTTTCCAGTTAGAAAGCCTTCTAAACTTTGGAGACACTCGGAGGCTGGACCGATATCTACGTTTCATTCAGCTTCGAGTGGACGTTGAAAGCTAAAGTAGTATTGAGGGTCAGTTGAACTGTGCCTTAGTGTTCAGCTCAACTTTTGAGCCGTTTATCTTGATAGTTATCAGCGTCCCATTCTGTTGGGTGTTTTCACTCAGCATCGTCTTCTTGTCAGTATCTTAAATAAGCCTAAATGATTTTCCGGTATTACCTAGTGCTGATGTCTTCCCATCTCTCTCCTTTAGCCATCCACCACTGCTCACGAACGACGCAAAGTCTATTTACGTTTAATTTGCTTTCTCTCTTCGTCATCGTTAGAACCTGCTGGAATGAATCTTCTCATATCAGTCAGTTTGGATGATGTTGCGGAAATGCAGTGACGTTCGGTAGCCATTGGGTATGGGTTATTGAATGTTTTTATTGCTGTTTCTATAGCCGACCTAACACCACTGCACGTTTCCTCCAGACGAGTATTGCTTTCACGTGCAGATAAATGTTTAGCTAACTCCGTAAATATGTATTTGACGTTCTCATCTTCCATCAAGCATTGACAGGCTTTACTGCCGCCTGTTTTCTGCGACCTGCAAGGTCCAGATATACATGAACCCGTACTAGGGACAGATCAGAGTAAAAACATGTGCTCCAGAAAGAGGAGCAATCCTCCATCAGTCGTCACCAACGATGGCTTGAAGCAAAATGATCTACCTATGTCCATCGTCCTTTTGATGTCGGCAGATGCCTTGAGACAATGTTTCTCCTTATGCTTGAAGTTAGCGCCGGTCAGAAACAAGTAATTTTTGGAATAAAGTTGCGAGAGACTATTATCACTGTCCGTTCGTTGGCATGGGATTTTGTAAATACCCGAAGAGACCTTTCTAAACGGCCCAGCTTTCCTACTTGATCGTTGAAGTTACCCGTTATTATGACGATATCTAAACATCTTGATTTATGTAGCAAAACTGAGAGCCTCTCATAGAACTCATTCTTTGCATCATCCGAAATGTAGTCAGTGGGTGCGTAGGCGGAGGCTACAAATGGGTATGGGTTAGTCTCGCGATCCATCTTAGTTTTAACAGAACCACTAAGTCGAACAGCACACACAGCTATTAACTGGTATCCAATCGATGAGTGCACTTCTGGCCCTACAATGTAATGGCATGACCAAAAAAGGGAGTTCACGAGAGCTAGCCAATAAGTTTAGGGATACTTATAAAGTGAATTTTTAAGATTAATCGCATCGGCCAGGTGAGATCGAGGGAATAACCACACTCTAGTCCTGTATATGCGTCTCAGAAACACAACACACAACGAAGTCTTGAGATTCAAGAAGGTTCGCTATAAATGCTCACCATCCACTTTGGCATAAAGTTCGAACGTTGAAAGCTCCGATATGAAACAGACGGAGGGGTCTTGGGAGGCTAGGAATGAAGTTACGATAGCTTGGGTCGTTGGCAATGATAGCAGCGTGAAAGGTTGAAGTTGTTAAGTTTAATATTGGTATCAAAAGGTGGAGGCAAAGGAGCAAGCAGAGGTAAAGAGGACGGGTTATGTTTGAATGTATCTTGCATGTTACTGGAGGCGTGCGAGTAGTTGACACTTCCGGGATGTCCACATCAAAAAAGGCTATTTCGCTTTGAATCACCTGAGAAAGAAGTTTTAGTGCATGACCACAGAACCGAAAGAACATGTGCTTGAAGCCGGTCACATGCGACTCTCTTGCAAGTTTCAGATTTACGCTTGTTACTTCCGGTTCCGGTGATGAACCCAGGTCGCCAAAACCCGCATGCTGCAAGGTGGTGGGGAGTGCTCTGCTTCTAGGGCCGCCCTCGAAAACAGCATCAGCATAGCATTCCTAGTCGTTCGCGAGAAAAACCCCTAACTGCTGCAACAGACCAAATAACGAGCAGTTAGACTTCGTCTTAGGACTCTAGTTATAAGGTAAAGATTTAGACAATAATGGTAACTACTGTTTGTCGAAGCACTATCCAACAAACCTTTCTGGAAGGATAGAACCTCGAGGGAGCAAGCGTTCAACCATAAAAGCTCGTTGGGTCAATGTGATATGCAAGCCAGACCATTAGGTTAAGGTCGCAATCATAGATCGGGAATCTTATCGCATACGTACTTATTCAGTTCTCCCTTTAGTCCACAGGAATTTATATTGCCACACACGACTCCTTAGCAGCTCTAGAATACGCACATGACACTGTCTTGTTATCCAAAGACTCTGACGAAATACAGTCTACTGAACGCATTGAGTACCAATTTGAGTGTTTTTGCGATATGTTTCTCACCACATAACTGTAAATTACTCCTACACGACTTGTCTTCACTGATGCCTTGTCTAACAATCAGGAGTGAGGCGGCTGACTGCATTGACGGTTTCACTTACCTGGCTCGGAAGTCAGATCAGTCCTAGGAGGTTATTGACAGACAAAAATTTCTGCACCGATACAAATAGCTCACTCGACTTTCGCCAACTCTTACACTATTGATGATGCCACTGTGATATCCGATTACCTATTAATGGTCGAGTGTACTACGCTTCAGTTAGCTCTGTTCTACTCTGTGTCTGTGAAACACACCCATGAAGGTATAAGATGTGAGGAGGCTTCAAGTGTTTGACCACCACCGTTGCCTTTGTAGCATAGGTTGTGTGTCGTGGCGTCTGTCACTGTGTCAGTAATGTAGAAGTCATGTGAAGAGCTTTAGGTAGGAGAATGAAGTTGGTTGATGTGGTTGTGAGTCATCATTGGCTCAGGTGGTTAGGACGTGTGATGAGTTTGCCTAGTCACTGCTGTCTCGTCGCACAGTGGTAGTTGAAGTAGATTAGGCTGCAGACAGGTTAAGGGCGGCCAAACCGCAACAAGGCAACAGTGTATGAAATCTTTCACTGTTGGTCTGAGCCATGTAGGAAAACGCAGACTTCCTGTTTACGGTCCACATAACAACAGAAATCAGTGGTTGGCGAGTCTGTGACGGCTCAGAATCGGTGTCAGTGGCGTAGATGTACCCACACATCATCTTCCTTCTAATCATCACAATGAATTCATTATTTTCTTGTCCCTCCTCCCCTTTTTTTAACTAACTACTTTTGACTAGTGCGTTTCATATTCCTATATGTTTTTTCTTAGTGGTTTCTCGGTTGATATGCTGATATGTGGTGAGAAAACGTGGGTCGTTGGGCAGTCATACCTGGTTCTACGCTGATCTTGCTTGTCTGTTAAATCCTATGTTTTTTAGATGCATTCTTAGACAGACTGAGACTGTTTTGGTTACTTTGCCACCACTTCTCTTGTTTCTCACAAGTGAGAATGATCAGTTATCTAGACCAGTTCGATGGGGTTACTTCTGAGACCTATATACTTTCTAATATTCTAGTTGCTCTACTCAACTCAATAAATTTATGCTTCCATCCTTATCGCCCTCAAGTGACGAACTATCAGATCCTGCTGCTTTGCATCATATCAATCTTGAAATAGCCTTTTCACATTGAATGAGAATTGGAGGACTAACATTAACTTCCGTTTATTCAGGTTTAGACTGGACGCTGGCCAAATAAAGCTTACTTGTAGGCCAATTAGGTTGTTCTTCGATCTATTGAGCCCACGACCTCCCTGATCTGTTCTAAAACGTCATTGGTGGTCCATCCTTCTCCGCTATGGTCTCAGTAAACGCCTACCTCTCCTCGTCAGTTTTCTTTAATAGCTAGCATAAGTGCCGAGTATCACCCGATCCTGTTGCCTTCTTAATCTCTTACTTTTACCATTTGTTACGTGGTCGCAGACTTTGTGTACACTCTCAGGCACTTACGTTTTAGCTGCTCTTGGTACTCATCGTAGTCACAATCAAGTTGAATGAGTCCTCCCGCTCTAACTAGTTCTAATGAGTTTGTACAAATCGACTGGGTTCGCAGGAGACACCTTCCCAACTAACTGAGTTCCCCACTTGGGTATTTAAGTCATCTGCTTCTGCTAATATATTTGGAGGCTTTTTATGCAGCAGAATTAACAGCTTTGGTATAACTCATTCTCCGCATCATTAGAACTGCAGTCGGTGAATGTCTAGGTGAACATTAGGAACAGGCATGGACGAGTGTTACGATTTTTCCAAGTCTTTGAGGATCGATTCAGATGACTATTGACTGTTATCCATTCGAGAATTGTGCTATCCAGTTTGCAAGTTAATCGACTGCTCATAACAGCGAGTCAGGCGGAACTAGCCGTTGAGGACTCGGACCACCGTAAGGCGAATTTTGTCGACCCACTAAATAGGCCAGGTGAGGTCGAGTGACTAATTGTACTTGGGTCCTGTATGCGGGTCTAGAAAAAGTAGCATGCATGCATGGTTCATGATCTAGAGCTTTGATAAATGATGACTACTGTTCGGTTTGGCATGGGATTCGGACGTTGAGACCTACAGCGTTAAATTGGTGTAAGAATAGAAATGGTGTTTTACGGTTCGAAAACTGTTAGCAGCTTTTTATTGGTTTCAGGATGTGAATAGAAAGGAGGACACTTAGCTGGGATTTCCACGCTGCTGGAAGCGTGGGGACAGCTGGCACTTCCAAGTTGCTTCATCATGGGAGTTGTTTTCATGAGTTATCTCTTGGAGGAAAAGGGATTGGTTTTGCGCAACAGTAGAGGTCAAGGGATGTCGGGATGAGTGCGGTTACGCGCAGCCTTTTTAAGTTTTGGATTAATATTTCATGATGCTACTACTCAAGAATGAAAATACACTATAGGCATCGCGAGAAAGCATAAGCGAGGGAAGGGTATCATCTGTGAGGCTGATCTATTTTAACCTCCTTCCTACAGAGAAGATGGCAGCAGCATCAGACTGTCGGTCACACACGGGGAAGACTTCGGTGATGTCACTCTGCCTAACTTTGCCGCAGATCCCCCAAAGAGCAAGGCGTTTAAACTATAACGGCCTTTAATTTTACCACTATCCAACAAACCTGGCATACTAGAAGCTGGAGGAAAAATTGTCCCAGCTGGCACATTTTATTACGCTGCGACATACAATCCTAGCTGACAATAAAGGTAGAAGCTATCGGCTGGAAATTATGAAGAAACTGGTGTTCCCTTGGTGAATCAAAGCTGCATCACTCAGTCCTGAAGTCAGACTTTACCGTTAAACCATTTATATGACGACGGAACACCTGTAAGACTGGACTACGTATACAAATCAGTCATCAGTGGGTGGCCGATATGGTTGTTAAGTTTTGTCTCAAAGGCCATCTAGTTTTTGACAGAGCTTCTTGTTAGATGCATCTAAACGATGGTGTGTCACACATTTGTAGACAACGAAAACGTTTCACACTCCATTCCATCTTAACTTTTGTCTTAGAAGCGTTGTGCAGTCTTTTTTGCTTATGAACTTGAACGGTGCAAGAACAACATGCGTTTTACAATAATTAGAATTAATTTCATATTTTTATCTACTGGTTGATAAAGTAATGCAGAGTGAAGTCCCCTTAATAACACCCATTCAGCTAAAAGTCTAAACAGATCATATATTGATGAAAATAACTTCAAGTGTGAATCACTAGATTTGTAACAATAACTCATCATATTTTCGTCCAAAAAAATAATGAAGAAGAAGTAGCTGTTGGTATAGACCTGGCTTATTTCAAAATTAAGGCATTTTACAGGCGTTAATTAGTGCAACTTTCTGAGATAGTTTTGCATTTCTTATATATATATATATATATATATATATATATATATATATATATATATATATATATATATATATATATATATATATATATATATATATATATATATGATTGGAATTAACATACGATCAAACTTCCAACCGATGCTATCTAAAACAGTCTTTTCAGCAACCGATCAGTCATTTTTCCCATTCACTTTACTTGCTCCTGGTGGGAACAAGTACATCAGCCAAATCATGTGCCGGCTGATGAAATGTGTTCGCAAACACTACCCAACATGGTTGACAAAGAGAGAACGGAAATGCATCTTCAGCTTTATAATGGAACACTTAGTAAACTCAGGATATTTGGCTCCTTTTGGTAATTCCTTCAAAATTTTGTATAAAGTGCGACCAAGTCACTTGAAAGGAATGAAGTTAAGACAACTGAACATAGCTGAAGCATTAGCAATTCAAGTGTTCAAACTATCATTATGCGTTTAAAAGAAGTATGTACAACCTGTTTCTCTGCTATAGTTATAATAGAGGATCAATCAATCTAGATAATTCCCATATGACGTAATTATAATTTATTTTGTGATCTTTTGGTTTATTTCCGCATTTTAAACGCCTATAAACAAAAAGCAACTTTCTGTTATCATGCAAATTATATTGACCCTTGACCGGAAATTACTCTGGAATGCTTTATTCTTTCTATCATATATTCACAAATGTAGAGCTAAGAGAATAATTTCATAGAAAAGAAAATCTTTACTTCGCTCCAATCGTCTTGTTTTTTTCTATGACCACATGGGTTTATTTTGATACTAACTAAATCTGCATTGTGATGAGGATACCGCATCACTAGGTATAGATAATTATTTATCTCAGATCACTGTAACAGTCAGATAAAAGCTTATGAAGATAAGACCTGAGAATCAGATGGGTTTGGTAGTTCAGTCGGTGGAGTATAATTATAAATATTTGCTTAAACAAAGAACAGCAGCAGTATCAGCTAAGAATCGAAACATGAACAGAAAACGTTAGCAACTTTACCTGGTGGCAATCGCGTTTCTTCATAAGTTGGGGGTGGAGGAACATATGCAGGAGGTCCTTGGTATGGAGGTGGAGGAGATGACGATGTCGGATAGAGGGGAGCGGAAGGTGTAGATGATGTAGCTATGAACGATAAAAAGACTGAGTTGAATTAGTGAGTAATTTTGTTAACATGACTATGATTACACGAAAGGTTCTACGTTATGTTATTAGAAAGACTTTTATTCAAATTTCTTGCTACGAAATATTGAGTTGCTTTCACTCCTTGTCACGTTTGGTGGCTGTCGATGTGCGTTTCAGTAGATTCATTGGTTTCGCCGATAATCTTCAATCTTTTCTGATGGTTGCTGATAGTCTATAGACTGGATAAGATGCGAGACTTCGTACAGATGGGCAGTTTCATTTGGCTCTGTTACTTGCCTGGCCAACTAGTTTAACACAGCTACAAAATCATCTTCGAACTCATATGGGAAAGGTCTTATAGTTCTCGTTTTCCCATGTCCATTACTGTGCAGACATATGTAGGCTTTAGACTCACTGTCAGAGGAACGGTGGTTAAGTGAACGCAAATGATGCAATCAGTTATGATTAAAGCTTTTCTGAGATACTGGAAGCATCATTCAGGTATCTTTTTTTCTTGTTTAACCTTTCTACTAAAGCTGCCCACTACGACAACCACGTGTTGTGATGGTGAATAAAGGTGACAATATCGTCGATATAAACTCAATTCTACAAGATACTGAGATTTAAAATTTACAAATGCGAAAAGCATTACCCTGATTCGACAGAAAACTTCATCGAAAATTCCAATTTATACATTTGAAAAGACGGATTGGACGAAGAAGCATTCATTTTCAATTAATTTTCTGTCATTGGCTTCAACCAATATATGCGTTTTAAATCCAATAATAAATTAAATCCTCATAAATGTAGTTGTGAGGAACACATGCAATGACAATTTCATTAAGTTCAGTAATATTTCGAACAATGATATCGACTGGTGTGGTCACAGACAGAACTTTCGCGGGAAATTATATTCGAAACTAAATTGTGACTGTGTGTATATATTTATTAAATGTATTCACAACAAATTGGTTCTTTCACAATTTTCAAACTTTTCATAGAAAAAAACAATAGTTGACGTAGGCTTTATTGACTAAAATAATTAAAAGTTAATAATTATTTCTCAGGCCGATAGCTACAGTTATCAGTCCATTTCTCCATTGAGAGTTTCCTCAGCTTCCTTATTATTAACTTTGAAGTTCCTGTCTCCACTCTGCAAGAGATTCTCATGAGATGCACGGTGAATGATAAGTCTCTCTTAAGAATGAGCTCTACAAGCAGTGTGATGGTGTGGCCATGAGGTCACCACTAGGTCCGATCATGGTGGATTTCTTCTGGTCAAACTGAATAATGTACCGTTTGAAGAAGCAACCAATCAGATGGAATTTCATAACTGTTACATAAATAATACGTTGACAGTTCTCTGAGATAAGGATGCTATCCGATGACCACACTAAATGCATGCCTTCTCCTCCTTGCGAAAGCAGCGTCTGCGTGACTGTAAAAGGTTGGAGTCACCGAGTAAATGCAGGTCCCAAATATTGCAATCGATAAACGATGATCGGCGACTTTGCTTCCAGTGTTTTAATCGTCTCTAATGAACCGCCATACTTGTTGCATTCTTCTTCCCAGCTTCCTTTATCTCATAGTTGTTTTCTATCACTACCCGATCCACAACATACGGCCGGTTCCATTCTGTCATCGTTCTACTTCGACGAATGTTGATATGTTACGGCTGTTTAAGCCATACTTTTCACCTATTTCGAAAGGCGTTCTATTGTTTTCTATCGTAATACTTTTTCTGCATCTGCTACGCTTCATCGAGTTCATTTTCAGCGTAACTGTCAAACCTCAAGAAAACTAGTAACATATATGTACCGTGTCTGTACAACAAACGACTCAACTTGTACTTCAGAAGCACTTATATTTGTTCGTCGCGCCGATTGATCTGTCGATCCCGATGGTTTTCAGTGGCTTGTGGACGTTCTCCTATATTGTCTTGATCCCCGATTTCGCTATGTCAGGTGTGACGTTGTACTGACGGTAATAACACAACCCTAACCTATGTCTCCTTTTCGTCTACATGACTGTAGTAACAGCTCTTTTTCTTTCGCCACTTGCAAGGCTTCAGCTGGGTTTTTTACTGTATCATACGCTCTCGAACATTGTCGAACAAGAGTCATTCTTCGAACTCTCTTAATGTCAAAGTGTTGATCAGTACGGGTCCATCACCAGTGAATCCCAGAAGATCCGATTCTTTCAGGGACCACTTGAGTTCTTCTGCCCGTACGCCATCTTGCTGTATACATGAGTCGAAGTATGGTCAATGCTCTATCAGGTATCGCTGCAGCACAAATATGACGTGCATCTTCGTAAATAAATACTCCACATCTTCTTGGTCGGTAATATAAACGCCAGACAACTTGACGTGTTTCAGAGCTTCAAGTGAAAGGGCACAAATCACGGTGTTGGCTCACTGAACGCTGTCCGACTGCTGAATACAGCGTCTACATTGCTCCTCCCACAGCACAAAGTATTGGCTGGAAAAATATTTGTCTGGTGGATTGAAATCAACTAATCGTTTCTCAAGATGTGAAGTGTCATGAGGACGACTATCAGATAGCTGTAGCGCCGTCTCAACGGGTCTGATGATAGTTCGTACCAGGTCAGTCTGTCACATCACAACCTCGAACGACAGTGAATGTAAGGATACCTGGCTAGGTGAAAACGACTTTTCGTCGAATTGATGCATCTCGCAATTGTGAGCTGTTTCCAACCTTTGCCGATGGGAATGTTCACGAAAATTGAAGTTCTTGATTCGTCGAGCTGATCAAGGTGATGCAGGTAGATTCACCACTTGTATAAAACTGCTTTACAACCAAACACACAAACGAGTGGAAGGGCACCTTTAGTGGGATAAGAAGATAAGATACTTGTGGGAGTTAATTTTATGAACAACCAAGTAACAGAATACAGTACATTCAATCACAACAGGATAAACCAGCACAAAATACTCGATATCCGTCTATCAGATAACACACTCCTACTTCCATCCAAAGTCAAACCGAACGGCTCAAAAGCAGTACACATTCACCACATATGTATAGCAAAAGCCTTAGGAATCCAACAGTTAAAGCCCAAGCCTTGCGTACAGAAGAGTTATCTCCATTCTCTTACTTTGCCGTGGTCATAATCCTTCTTTGAGTTTCCTCATTCCTTCAATATTCATCTTTTATTGGTTGGTTATTTCCAATGTTCTTTACGGTTCACTTTCCCGCATATTTACATCCTAGTTCCAATTTCCCACTAAACGTCTCGCTATATTTTACTCCGGTCATTGGTTATAATAATAATAGTAATTTTGTAATCTATTATCATCATTCAGATCGACTGCATATTTTATTTACAAAGCCTAAAGTTACACGATCTGTTACTAGATCTAGGACCGATTTTCTGTACACCCTCCCTTTTATCGTTTCATCTGACCTTAATAATAAGACTTCTAGGAAAGAAATACAGTCGTTTCATTCTTGTTCCGTTGTGGTGTTGGCTGGATGTACGCTAACAGGTTTGTCAAGAATAGTAATATTATCATCCTTAACTCAAGAAAGTTAAGACACAGTCTACTTGACACAAGGTCAAGAAGAGGAGCAGATGTAGGCTCACACCACTCACTATCTTATCTAGTGCAAGGAACCTTCCAAATCAAGTTGAAAGCATTCAAGGAAATTGGCGATAGACCACAGTTCAAGTTCAACACCAGAACAGAAACTGAAGGACGAAACTACAAAGGACATCTTCATGGCAGCCAGCCATCAAGACAAAATGGGAGATATCGAGGAACATCACTGAAGAAACCTGTGTGGAAAAACACTGGAAGTCCTTGAAAGAGATGTGGAAAGAAACCTGCACAACCGTATTAGGAAGGAAGAAGAAAGAAGACAGGACGAGGAATGGATCTCGACGGATACATGGAAGCTGGTAGAGAAGGGAGAGGAGGATGATGAAGCAGAAGAGAAACCAGTCTAGTGCAAGGATGAACAACGAGAAGAGGATCTGAGTATAATGTATAAAACACTGGACAAAGAAGTGAAGAAGAGTGCACGCAAAGACAAAAGACACTTCTACGAAACACTGGCAAGTGAAGCAGAACACGCTGCAGGTAGGAGAGAGAGAGAGACCTGATAACACTGTATCAAATAACCAGGTTACTCTCTGGGAGGGAAGAGATCAACGCAGACGAAACCAATAAAAGATGACGAAGGAAATATAATTACGAAAGAAGAGAAGCAGAGAGAAGAAGAGGAGAAACAAAGGAAACGATGGGCCGACCACTTCAAGAAGCTCTTGAATCGACCACCACCACCACCTGCACTTCGTCCAGAAATACCACCTGCAGCCCAACCACAGAACTACAAGTGAACATAAGTCCTCCAACAAAAGTCGAAGTCCTGAGCGCCATAAAGCTACTGAAATGCGAGAAAGCAGCAAGACGAGATCGAATCCCGCTAGAAGCACTGAGAGCAGACGCAGAGAAAACAGCAGACATGCTCACACCACTATTGCAGGAGGTCTGGAAGGAAGGGAAGGTACCTACCTACCGATTGATTGGAAGAAGGGCTACCTTGTCAAACTCCCGAAGAAGGGTGACCTGAGTCTTTGCAAGAACTGGCGAGGAATCACGCTCCTGTCCACCTCAAGCGAAATATTAAGCCACATCATCCTGGAGAGACTTAAAGGATGCGCTAGATCCGAAATTACGACTCGAACAGGCCAAGCGGCTTCAGGAAGAACAAATCATGAGCAGATCAAATTGCAACGCTACGCTACACATCATCATATAACAGAGTATAGAATAGCAGTCAACTCAATTCTCTACCTCAACTTTATAGACTTTGAAGACCTTCGACACCGTCGACCCAGAAGTAATTTGGCAACTGCTTCAACACTACAGAATACCACAAACCCTTATCAACCTCATTCAACAGTTATATGGAGATGCCACATGCCGAGTGGTTCACAATGGGAAGCTCAGTGATGCTTTCGAAGTGAAGAGAGGAGTGAAACAAGGCTCCCTACTATCACTGATGATATTCCTGATTGTAGTGGACTAAATTATGCAACAAACAGTGGGGAGCGAGAAGAGGGGGATACGCTCGACTTCGGAAAAGAACCTAGAAGACTTGGATTTCGTCAATGACTTATGTCTAATGTCACAAAACTTGAAGATCTACAGGCGAAAACTAACAAGTTGACAGAAGAGGCGAGGCAGGGCAGCGAAGATGGGACTTCAAGTGAACGTAGAGAAGACACAGGCGATGGAGATGCCCAACCACCACCAACAACAACAACAAGCTCCAATCACCATCAACAGGAGAAACTTAAAGCAAGTAGCCTCTTTCACCTATCTAGGCGGCACTGTTTCAACTACCGGTGGCGGCACGGACGAGGACGTCAAAGTCAGGATAGGAAAGACAGCAAGACAGGCCTCCATTAGCCTGAAACCAGTATGGAGATCTTCTGCACTCAGCATGTGGAACAATATCTGGATTTTCAACACCAACGTCAAGTCAGTGCTTCTATACGGTTCAGAGACTTGGCGTGTTACGAAAGGCGTTCCCAGCAAACTACAGACATTCATCAACAACTGCCTACGCTGGCTCGTTACTCAAGCTCAGATGGCCAGAATAACAAGAATAAGCAACAAGGAACTCTGGTCGGGCAACGAACCAACCCAGAACCTATCACTGAGCAAATATGCGGAAGAAGGAAGTGGAGATGGAATGGGCATATACACTGAGAAGGCCGACTGGGGACATCACGCGCCTGGCCAAGCCCTCGAGTGAAACCCAGATGGCAAGCGACGAGTTGGGCGTCCGAGGTGAGGGTGACATGGAGGAGATCGTGCGAGGATGAAATGAGAGCTTCTGGGCTGTGGTGGAACCGGGTTCAAAAGATTTCGGAGGATAGAGTGCACTGCAGACGTGCTACTGAAACCCTATGTCCCATTAGGAACCCAAGGGCAGAGAATAATAATAACAATCTCAGAGAACCTTCAACGTATTATTTATGTAACAGTCATGAAATTCCATCTGATTGGTTGCTTCTTCAAACGGTACATTATTCAGTTTGACCAAGAAGAAATCCACCATGATCGGACCTAGTGGTGACCTCATGGCCACACCATCACACTGCTTGTAGAGCTCATTCTTAAGAGAGACTTATCATTCACCGTGCATCTCATGAGAATCTCTTGCAGAGTGGAGACAGGAACTTCAAAGTTAATAATAAGGAAGCTGAGGAAACTCTCAATGGAGAAATGGACTGATAACTTTGCGTTTAATGATCTGAAACCTTATGAGTTTCTCTTGTTCTGAAAGAAGTAAGGAAGATTCATAATCAGAGTGCTCCACTAAGACGCATACTATCCACGGTCGGTTCTTATCACTAAGTCGGTCATTGGTTGCACGTAAAGTCGGAACCTATTTTCTGCATACATCGGTTCCCTGAATACTTAAGCCAAAAAGTACATAATGTCTTTTCATGCGATTTTCATATTCTGAGACCAAAATATCCATGATAGAAGAGATATTATTTGCCAGCATTTTAATCCTCTTCTTTACCAATATCCCAGTTTAAAAGGCTTCCACTAGTGAGCACACAAACTTCTGAATTCCAATTTCGAAAGCAGATATGCTGTGAAAGTGATGGGATATTGATGAAGATTCAACTGTATTCAGCACAGACGAACATCTTCACGGCTAACTTCTATAATGCAAGCCATCAATTTGGGATTGGAGGAACGAGATTACACGTTAGTTATGCAAATAACACTTAGTCACCACCTACAGCAGTACGGATCCTACTCGCTAGGACTTTCAATGACGCTCATACGAAAACGGATTTTACTATGAAACGCGAGAATGACGATGATCTCAATTTCCTGACGTTTTCGTGCAAACTGAAATCGACCGAACATTCGAAATGTCCACTTACCTTAACACTATGTGGAAAGGAACTCATCTCAATCAAAATATCTTTTGTTCGGTTCGTTATAAACGGACAAAAGCAGAAACACTATTTCATGGAGTAGAAATATTAAAAAAATGCTGGCAGATAAATGAAAGGACTAGCTGTTAATCGCAGAGAAATGCCTACATAACAACGGATATTCACAAAAGTT